GATTAAAGCATGAGGCTCTTATCCTCCAACTGCTTCCTCCTCTTCCTTCTCCTCCTCCTCCTCCTCCTCCTCCTCTTCCTCCTCCTCCCCCTCCTGTGCCCTCACCAAGGCGAATGGAGTTGGATCGTTTTTCCCTCCTCCATCAAAAGCCTTTTGTGACATTTTCTCCTCCAAGCCACTGGCGACATGACCTTTCAGTGATTTTCTCTCACTCAGAGAACTAGGGACAGAGAGAGGCTGTCGGAAGGGGGTTTACTTTGGGCTCTGTATTCTGCTAGGGTTGGGTTTATTTAATAGGCTACTAGGTGGGAGTTAAAGAATAATGTAAACAGCAAGAAAGAACTGCTGCAACACACACAAAAAATAGATTTATTAAGTGGATGGAAGATATTCAGGTATTGTCTGAAGGAACGTAGGCGGGAAGAGGAAGCTGCTAGAGAATGTTCTGGAGCCACATTCCCGGAAGTGAACGCTAGGCCTGCCACACTAGCTCAGGGAAGTGACTATGGCTTCCTGCAGCCCAGTGTTCTCAGCTGACTGCTAGGGCTGTGCGGGTACAAGGGGGTACAGCGTACAAAGCTGCACTTAGGAAGACTTCTGGTTTGGTTAGCACTCTGTAAATATCAAAGATATTTTGTGGCTGTAAGCAAACATTTTAATTTATCACTGCACAACACATCGAAACTTGACTAAGTCATCTTCTGAAAGCAATGCATATTAAACAAAAATGAGAAAGTTGAAGATAAAAGAGCAAAAATCCACCCGAAAGGTTAAGAGAACCAAATGTGCCAACGACAGGGATGAGTTTAACTACATGCTGTGAACCGCTAAGATCCCTAAAGCTTGCTGGGTTATGTGATTTTTTTTTTTTTTTTTCTGTCTCGTAAAAGAAAGAAGGTAAATTTTTTGCCAAGAAGCAAAAACTTTAAGCACTGACTTTGAAGCCCTTTATTATGTGATTATATGGGAGCTCAAATCAGGGATGGTGAGGAGTAAACCAATTTCTTCAGTTAAAAAAAAGATCAGAAAGAGGAAAAATGGCAGAGAAGGAATCGATTAGTGGTTGCCAGGGGCTGGGGACATGTAGGGTAGAGTGTGGCTACAGGTAGGTGGGGTGGCTTTGTGGTGATGGGCTGGTTCTGTATCCTGGCTGCTGTGGTGCTGGCACCATCTAGACAGGTCCTAAGTGTCACTGAGCCATGTACACGTGCCACGCCAGTGTCAGGCTCATGGTGTTTTTTTTTTTTTTTTTTTTTTTTGCGGAACCGGGGATTGAACTCAGGCCCTTGTGCTTGCCAGGGAAGCGCTTATTCCACTGAGCCATCTCCCCGGCCCCCTGGTTTGGGTATTATAGCGATGTCAGATGTAACCACAGAGAGAAACCAGCAAAAAGGACATCTCCTTATTATGTCTGTAGCTTCCTGCAAAATGTGTTTCAAAACAAAACATTTCTTAAAATCAGAAATAGTATCCCTTAAGTAATATTATTACTTACCTTACCATAAAAGTATCGTCAACTCAAGTTTTTACTTTCTTTACTATAATTGTAAGGACTTGTACTTCTTTTTAAAAAATCTTTACTTTATTCATTTGATACAGTGCCTTGCTATGTAGTTCAGACTTATAGTGATCTTCCTGTCTCAGCCTGGTGCCAGGGCCAGCAAGGCATGAGGTACCGGGGATCGAACTCATGTCCTTGCACTTGCCAGGCAGGTACTCAGACCGTTGTGCTATCTCCTGAGCCCAGTACTTCTACTGCTATTCAGCCCCCCATCCTTACATCTCAGGAGACCCTGCTGCTATCCCTGGGTTGCATCAACTCATTTCAGTGTTTACCCCAGATATCTGTATGGCTCCCAGGCTGGTCTCTTCCTGCCAATACCGGCAGGCTGACTGCGGTCCCTTTGAGCTCTCCCTAACCAGCCCCAGCTGTCTGCTTGCTCCCTGTATACAGGTGGGAGCAGCCGTCTGTTCTGGACTCCCTCGATGTATATCACTCTTTGGGTTACTCCCGGTAGCAAAGTCATTTCTGAGGCAGTTGCTCCTTTCTCTCTCTCCTTACCTCCTTTATGCCAGTTCTCTGCTGCTGAGCAATGTGAAATCCCTGAGACCCTCAAGGAGTCTAGCATGTGTGAATGGATCTCACCCGCTCAGTGGCAGATGGCACAGGTCCCAGAAGCCATTTGCAGCATCTGATAAGAGAGGAACCCGCCCAGCACGTACCTTTCATCTGCACGAAGTCCAGCTGGTGAATGGACTGCAGCAGAGGGCTGTTGTCCAGGCTCAGGTCAAAGTCCGTGGTCATCCTGGGCGTGAGCGTGCCTTTGCCCCACTGGTCCTCAGTCAGGTGCACCCTCCTTATGAGGGCATCGGAAATCTAATCACAGCAAAGACCACAGCCTAAGAAATACAATGCCACACTCGAAACAACATCACTCCTCAACTCTCTGAGAGCGCCACCACCAAACTGCCCGGGGAGTCGCACACTTCTGGTCTCAGTGTGGATGATAAGAACGATCCTGTTGTGATGAGGATGACTCAAGATTTATCAAGCAAGTCTGAATACTTTTTTGAGTCAGAGGGAGGATGCTATAAATAATTAGCAGGTGTTAATTAAATGAATAGACAAACCTGGGTATGTGATTGTGCTGTTTAGGATTGACCCACTTAAAGCCCACGATTGTAAAGAATGATATATGTTGGTGATGAATTAATGCTATTGAAATTGACACATCTAAGCTTCTATTTTGAGACACGGTTATTGTACCAAGACTTGGGAAACAGGGAGGCTGCATCTGGGATTTAATATATTTTAATTAAGTACAGTGTCTTTCTGCAATTATCACTTTGTATTTTGGTAGAGAATTCTTTCTTCTTAAGTTTAGTCACCTTTGGTCCCTTTAACACAACGTGAATTAGAAAAGATATTCTTGTCCTTTAGCAAAAGTGTCCTTCAACTTAAATAACATCTCACTTAAATCACAGCATTTCACGAACACAGGTGACATTGTAGAAAGAGTAAACTTCACTACCTTAGAGAAAGCCCTGACTTACTGGCCAGGAGGAGGTGACTGGAAGGTAAAGACTTGCAGATGAGACAGTTTTGGCTGATAATACTGTCCAGGAGATAATAACAGAGGGGCCGGACTTTCAGCAAGGAATAGACTTCGCTTTGGAAGAACTTACAGGGAATTACACTTTCAAGAACAAAGACAAGAACACATACGTGCACTTTTTAGTCCTGTAGCGCCTGGCGGCAGACTTGCAGAAAGTCAGTGGAGCTTGTTTAGCAAGTGCCCCCACACCGGGGCAGTGTCACAGTAGCTTCTGCTACTGTAGCAACCAGGCTTGTCCAGGGCTGCTGTGAAGTCCTGCCCGGCATCCTAGACTCATCTCACAGGGCACATGGAAGCTGAAGCACAGATGGCGAATGCTTACCTGCAGAAAGCCACTAGGATCATTCTCCTTAATCACCTCCAAGCAGTACTCCATGAGACCTGTGGTCTGACGCAATTTCACTGTGCAGTGAGAGATCTGGTCTCGAACCACCTAGGATGGGTGAGAGAAAAGCGTCCACAGTGGCAGGGGATGGAAGAGAAGCCAAGTGGAACTTTCAAAGGCTCCTCAAACCAGAATGCAAGAGTACCACGGAACGGAGCTAGGTTCACAAGAACAACTTGTGGCAATATCTACATGGACAATGGCTCTGGAAGACAGACTGGATATAACGGCATCCATCAGAAAGGGATGCTGGGTAGGCCAGATAGCTCAGCAGACTAAAGCGCCTGCTTTGGCAGAGTGCAT